GGGGGGGGGGGGGGGGGGTTGTTCAAAGTTTGAGTTGCATTTCGCCAAGACGCTTGCGAAAATCTACTGAAATACATATATATAGTATATGGATTTTTTAAGTGAATTGAAACAAATAAATTTGCATGCTATTTATTCAATGCATATAAAATTACAATAGCCTATTCTATTGCTCATCCTCATCTTCACTAGAAATTTGCCTAGGTTTGTCCTTGGATCCTCCTTCGTGATGAGCAATGATTAGTTTGATTTTATCCTTTCTTATTTTGCTTACTGGCTTGAAGACTAAAGGCCTTTATATACTTGTCAAGTTCATAGAAAAATAATGTATCTAACTTTCTTTCTTCGGCGGGTTTTCCAGTCATAGTGCTCAAACTTTTTCATCTTTCTTTGTAGAGTCTGACTTGCTTACTTTGCTTGATTAGCTGCAACAGTATTTTCATGGATATGCCTCACAGCATTGACTACGTATTCCTCTGCAACTACACCTACTTGCAAGAACTTTGTCATACGATATTAGAACATTAGTAATTTAGTAAGAAAGGAATACATTAAAACACAAAAGAAAAAGTTCAGCTTCAGTGATCTTCTTTTGTTTTTTAATGTAATTCCTATCCCACTAAATCACTAATGTTCTATWTTCGTATGTCAACGTTCTTGCAAGCAGGTGTATATATTTCTTAGCAAATGATTTAATGCTCTGGTCATCTTTGAGATTGAGCTTTCCTTCCTTCATCAGTTTCTTGATGTTTGCTCTGGGTTGAAAGTCATCTGCGGGTCGTGGCTTTTAACTTGAATCATTGACATTAACATTATGTCTGCTTTTTGATAAACCAAATATATTAAAATGGTTTGCTTTTAATACTGCAGACTTTTGAATTGTGTTTATAGCAGCATCAACACATCTATAAAAGGCAGATGTTTTCTATATATTTCTTCAAACATGCAAATCAATCAGTTTTAATTTTCAACATTGATACATTGCAGATATTGTTTACAAAAAACACATTACAAATTGTAACGCATAGACCCTGATAAATGTACATTCTCACACATGATGAGGACGTTTGGGTGCACAGCAAATATGTTTTTAAATAAAACAAATTAGTTGTACAGGTGGGTGTGTGTGTGTGGGGGGGGGGGGGGGGGGTTGAGGAATTTTGCAAGGTAGTGGAGGGAGGGTTAGGGAGTGTTTCCTTATAACATATGGGAAGCTGGATCATGTTTGTGGACTGTTACATGCAATTTTGCCGAACCCTTCCCCTCCCCCCATAATAAATGAAAGCCCCCTTAGACCTAAACCTATATAGACCTAGTCCTAGACGTACGCTAGACCTAAATCTAGACCTAGACCTAGACGTATACTACACCTAATTCTAGTCACACCTAGACTTACACTAGACCTAATTCTAGACCAAGGCCTAGACGTATATGTAGACTACACCTAATTCTATTAGACCTAGACCTAGACTTACACTAGACTCAATCTTAGTAGACCTAGACCTACTTCAACCTAATCCTATGTAGACCTAGACCTTTTTGAAATAAAACAGGACTTAATGCCCTTGGCACTTTTCAGTTGTTTACTTTGGCCCCCCTCACCTGAATAATGTTGTTCTGGTGACAGATTGGTCTTGTGGTTCCTTAAGATGCAACATTGGATAGGTTGAAGGGCAACACTTTGGAAGTACAAGTAATCACTCAACTTAGTAAAATTTTTGCGGTTTTGTAACAGCCAATAAGCCTGATGCGAGATGACGTTTTACCCCCGACTCTATACCATAATAGTTTTTAAAATTCTTTCATATTAAAATTTTTGATTCCTTAGAGAATACMGGAACAATAGTCATAATTAAAGAACAAAAGCAGTGTGAAAAGGATTATGGTCTAGAGACGGGGGTAAAACGTCAGGCTTATTGTGTCCAAGATTGTAGACCACGTACAGTGGCGCATACACTAAGTGCAGTCCACTAAGAGATGGAACAGTTTCTCCAATTTCATCTCAAGAGCCTGCGTTTCTCCTGGTAAGCACCGAGAAATGAAGACTCTCACATATCCACTCTCAAATGAATACTCCATTTTCGAGTTCTCTGTTGCTCAGGGTTAGCCTCGACTTTGTGCAGAATACTCATGGATTCCAGTGAAGGTCCGTGGAATTTCAAAGTGTTTGTATTGTTGAAGTTGTGCATTCATTACTTTGCCGTTGGTATTTGTGCATATTTAGACATTGATTTGAGGCTCCTGAGTAAATGAGTCTGTAATCAAGGAACACAGAGGTAATGTGGTAAATGGTCTATTTTCTTTAGCTGTTCCAAAATTGAAACAGCCCATGCGCATTATTCCGGAAGTAAACTGACACGAATTTAGGTAAATTTAAAATGTGACGTAAAGTGTTGTCCATTAACTTGTCTTTCAAAGGACAAAGGGAAATAAACATAACGTTTGTTGAAAGCCTTTTCTGATAATTTGGAATATCACAATTTTTGATTTTTTGGGGTGAAACCCCCTTGTTTTGTTCTTCGTGGTAGATTTCTAAGAACAGCTATTCACTAAACCGGAAGTCCAGAACACATAACGCATGCGCTATAAAATTTACCAGAATTCTTGATACGTCTGGTGGATTATGCCAGAATCTTCGCTTCTCGGTGCTGACCAGGACTAAGCAATCACTGAGGACGAGATTGGGAAAACCGGCTTCCTATTTTTTCGGGTAAGCAAATACTGTAAAAGCCCGCATAAAAGAACCAGTGGATTAAGAACCACGCTGAGATCTAGCCAATCAAGTACCCAATATTCAAGAACCACTTCAGTCTGACAAATGAGACAGGTTCTTATGTGAAAACTTTAACAAACATGCACAAAGCATGTTCTAAGGGTCATTGGGAATATTATAGTGTCAATGTTAAACTGAATAGAAAACCTTCCACGGTCACAATAGCTCACTTATTTATAAAACAGATTAAATTAAAAACACCATATCAGTAACAATTGGTTTTGGCTTGTAAATAAAAACCTGTTAAGAGCCTATTAAGCCTGATTTCTCTGCAGAATCCGAATTTATAAGAACCTTTACAACCTGACTGCGGAAAATAGGGGTTCCTTTACACGGGTTTTTACTGTAGCGGCTTGCACGTCAGATAAAAAGATTAGAGCTTTAATATACAGCGTATTCCAATGGCATAGTAAATCCTTTTGTTGTCTTAGTTTAAAAACGCTTGGAAGATTGAGGGGAGCCAGGTGGTTTTTGATAGCCTTCTTAGGGAATTTTTTTTACTGGAGAACGGTGGGATTTGTGTGGGGAGGGGAGTCATAAAAAGAATCAGTCTCGGGGGGTGGGGGGCATTTTTATGCAACAAAAAACGGAGTCCTCAGATCTTTTTGTATATGCTTTACCAAGCTAATCACAATAACCCCCCCTCCCTCCCCCTCCCTGATAAAAAAGGTACAGTCTCTTAGTTGTTTATTCACCAGCCAAGCGTCAAAAGAGGACTATAGAATTGAGGGGGGAGGGGTGAGGACAGCCGGGTGAGAGCTTTATGGCGCGAATGTTTCCGCCATGTCTACAGAACCGCACTAGCAATCGGTCGTTGGAGACCCATGTTTAAACCACGAAGAGTTTTTTAAATGAAACAATAGAATTCACCACCGAACAGATTCAGACATTTTTACTAAAATAGAAGCCTCAACCTTTCTCTGGCTCCGTCAGGCATCATCAGTAAGATAACAAACCCTGAAACCAAAAAGCAAACGAAATTCACTAAACAGTGTGGTAATAATATGATTGTTAATTTAACGTTTCTTTTCAGTAAAAAACCGCACTCAGACTCTTTCAGTTTTGGTTACCATAATTGATTTGTAGACAAGGACAGCATTACTGATTTCAATCAATCGTTATCTGGTTGTAAAAGGGATTCCTTTAATTCGCTAGGCTTCTCACATCAAAACTAGGGCTAGAAAAACAACAACGACAGCGCCAACGATAATATCACCACCATCATCATCATCAGTATTATTATTAATAGTATTATTTATTATTATTATTAGTCACCAACAGTCCTCTCGTACCCAGACCACACTCACCACGCGTCTCGCTTCTCCCGTTTTAAAAATGCGTATTTTTTGCCAAACGTCAAATTTTCTTTACCCCTGCATATGGTGCTTTTATGAATGGTTCTTGCCTTCATTAGACTGCACTTTTCGTGCCATGGGACTAATAATTTCAATGAAGGGCTCAAATGAAGGGCTCATTAAACTGAATTCGGCACCTCAATAACCAGAAGCTCCATTCAGTGAAATGGCTAGCCGACCACGACTATAGTCTGATAAAGCCGAGCCAATATTTTCAAGAGCCGTGCATTTTGAAATAACTCATATCGAGTTATTTAGTTTTGCGTGCGAATCAACATTCAGGATTTCACATGAGTCATGGGTCATAAAACGATTTCAATAAATGACGATGCTTTTAACACAACGTTTTTTTTCTCTTTCAATGTTATCATTCTCTGTTTTATCATATGGCAATATCTCAGTTCTTTTGGTTACCCCGCAGAAAACGTTTTGAATATCATCTGTTTTCCAGAACCTTTAAATTATCGTATTGCGGCGTTTGTAAAAGAAATTAAGGAGAATTCACGAAGTCTGTCGTCCTCAAGGACACAAAAAGATTAAATACTCCCAACCTCAAAAATGGGAAAGTATTTCCAGTGGGTAACCACATCAATTTGTGTTTAGCATGGTGTCTGATCTTATCGAAATACTGAGCACGAAGTCTTCCATTGAAACCGTGCCTTTTAGAAACATTATTTATTCACTGCGCTTCTTTAATAAAACAGAGCTTTTATTTTCCATTTGTTTCCAATTAGAATTAATTGAAAGAAGATTTTTCCATTCAAAGAGGACGGAAAGGAAAAACAAAAACAAACAGGTTTTTCCTGCTTTCCATTACGAACTTCGATTTTTTTTACCTCCGGGATTTACATTGCTTAAATTTAACCACAAAAAGAAACACGCTTTTGTAAAAGGTACGTTTTTCGTCGGAGTTACCACAATTAGTTAATGATGTATGTAGTAATTCTATAGATAGATTGATATCAATAAATCGAATGTTATTTTTTGTCCGTTCTAAAATGAAAACTTGTAAATGGATCGGCAAGGCCATGTCAATGGAATATTCTATCGTCCATTAGTCCAAATACCAAGGCAAGGAATAAACATTCCCACTCAAAGCACTTAGCCGAAATTCAACTCTAACTCGAATACCGACACTAGACACAACGTATCCATTTTGCTAGCGGAAAATAAAAATGACATATAGAGCGTCTAGGCTCAGCTATTGACTTGATATTACCTATATCAAAATGTTATCGTATGCTGCAGTGATACCTGTCCTAGCAAGCTACATGTATTCATGATGCTGACGTTTAGTAGTAAGAGAGTGTATATACCTTTATTTACATAGAAGAATTTGACGTTCCAGTATACAATGGGAAACGATAAAGATAAACTTATTTCGGAAGGTTTTGAGCTGAAGATTACCATCGGGAGCATTACTACTTGCTATTTCAGAGTACGAGGCAGGGAAAGGTGTAGGGACGATAGGTAAATCAAAAGGCCATGCATATCTGAAAGATCGCGTCGCTTGTTTAATGTACACACGGATAATCCTTTTACATTTGAAGTGGCTTTTGACCGATCTCGCTCAGTCATAGGCCGCGCTTGAGTGAAAATTAAAAGTAAAAAGAAAATTTTATGATTCGTTTAAATGCATAAAAGTAAACATTACATTTCTTTAAGTTCGGTAAATCATTATCCCTAGTGGATTTTTCCCTTCCAATTCCTCCCACAAGCTACAAATTTGCATGCATTTTTAATTTATTCGTTTTTAAAAAGTCGGTACAGGAAAGACAATAATTGCCCTACTTTTGGTGTGCTTGAAATAGGTTCCTCAAAAATTTTTTTTTTTCATGATTTCAGCGATCGTTGACGAGAAATGGCTTCTTTGGCGGCGTTTTGATGACGACGGTTGAACAAAACCATTTCATCTTCTAAAGGTTTTATATTTCTATTTTATCTCACAACACAAAATTCAATAGCCTTAGGGTGCGGGAAATCGCTTAATAACTGAACTATGTTTGAAAGAGGTTGACGAGAGACAAAACACGCCGCATGAACGATGGAATCGCCCAAGGCTTTCGGCCAGTGATGAATTCAATTTCCTTATTCAACTTTTCTTTTAAACAAAAGCGATTTCCAGATGCTAGTAGAACTGGATCCCTGAGTAATGGAAGTGCTCGATAGCAGACATCATAGGCACCGCCACTTAATAAAATTATACATACAACTAACTTGTTTCAAAATTACCTTCCTAATGAAAGATCGAAGTAAAGCAGTGCCTTTGAGAAAAGCCATCAACGGAAACACCAAGATGGACACCCATCTAAAGAGATTTTACACACTTTCGTGATCACCTTGTTTACCCAATTATGTAAATTTGTACATTGGTGTCATTCATGCGGCCTATCCACCACAGGATATCTGATATTCTAGCTTTTCGAACATGCCGCTGTCACGCACAACACAAAACAATGTTCTAGACAAGACGTACCATTGGAACACGCTTTATTTCTGTCGTAGCTTAGCGTCCGTCGAGTCGATTTGGGCTTGTCATGTTCTCAGGACTTAATTGAGACTTCAAGAGGTATTAATCGTATCCTTAAAGAAACGCTGGACAATACCGGAAGACTCCGAGGTTTTATTTCCCGATTATGCTCCTTCTTACGCCAAGTCACACTGTAGTCTTTTTCGTACTTTGTATTTTTGGGCATCTCATGGACACGGCACTGAGTTGTGACAAAGACGCACGTTGTAAACCTCACCAGGTTTGTTGTGGAAAACGCTGTCGATCGTGGCCTAAGTGCTTTCTAAACAGCGACATGGAGTGTTATTATGACACGCATTGCATCAAAGCAGCAGTTTGTGTGTCCAATGTGTGTAAACCCCGAAAACTGCTTCCAACTTCATGTAAGACGGATGAAGACTGTAGCTTTCAAAAGCATTCTAAATCATTTGATGGGATTGTGAGTACCAGTAAATGCTGTCAAGGCAAGTGCTTTAAGACGAAAAGCTGCTTAGCGCTTAAGATTAACTCAACGCTAACGACCCCGACAACATCTCAAGCGATAGGTGAGCAGCCGTGTTTGGAAACCACTAAATGTCCAAGCGAACTAGAGTGCATTAATGCTAGATGTAGAGTGAAGAAGGTTGTTGACTCCGCGAAGAGAAACAGTAAGGAATCTGACACGACCTTGTCAAAAGCTGGGTTTTTGTCGGCGGCTATATTAACAGCAGCAGTATTCTTAACCATTATGTGTTTTTGCTTCTTAAAAGAAACTAAATATGCTCAAAGACATTATATGCGTCGAGCACAAAGAGAAACTCTAACTCAAAGTAATTATTTGATTACAGTAGGGCAGCCTTCTGCCGTCTTTCATGATCAGCCTGATCAGACTCATTCATCGAATTCTAGAAATAACAACCGAGCTTTTCAAATTTCTGCCTCGTGGATGTTATTTCCAGGACTTTATGGATCTAATCAAACGGAACGTAGTCACGGAGACGAAGAGAGAAATCGCGAAGAAGAAGAAGGAGATTGTAGTAGTTCTTGTACGAGGCCACCATCGTATAGAAGTGTTTGTTTTGATCATGAGCTTCCACCGTCTTATGACGAAGCGATGAATTGCGATCACTGTCAGAATTACACACACAATATAACTTTAACTACGGGTTGTAATATACAGAACGACCAACAAAGTGCATCGCTGGCTTAGAGAGATTTTATTACTAAATGATGCTCCTATTTAGGATATAGGTGTATATATATATGTACATCTATCAATATATACTAGACTAACTGTGCTATATTGAAATTCCATTATCGTTGTCAAAAAGTGAAGTTTCACTTAATATATGAGAGCAACCAGAATACAGAATGTAGAAAATCTCGATTGGCAATAGTCGTGTGTTTTATTTGGAATGAATATAAATTGTAAATAATATTCTCGAGAAGATGAGGTTTGAAATGAAATAAGTTACAATTTAAAGTGGATTGTTTGGATGGCTGGGAACGTCTAAATACAATATATGTATTATTCATGGTTCGCAGTAGAGTCAATCAATTAATATGATACCTTTGGTGCTCATACAAAAGAACACTAAATGCTAGAGAGTTGGTCGCAAAAATTAACAGATTAAATCTGCTTAAGAGCAATCAACACCCTCATCTCTGTCTTGCGCGTATTAATGCAGAATGTGTGCGTAGAGCTGTCGAGTGAAAAAAAAAAGTGGTAAAATTCAGGCATCAATTAACTCTACCGCATGATCGGCGCCACACAATCGCCGGTCTTATCATTAATAATGGAAAAAAAACATGCCTCGAGTCATGTCGGGTCAAGAAAGAAATTCATTAACGTTTTGAAATTATCAACTAGCCTTTTACCATTTGTTTTTGCACGGAAGGCTAGAAATCAAATAGTGTATTGTTTCAGGGGAGAAAGAACTTCAAAGCCATGACTAGAGCGAGATCCACACGAGTACTTCATGTTTTTTTGAAGCAGGCAATGAGGTTTTTCTGAAGGTATTTTTAAATGAGTAAAACAGAAAAGTAATTATTATAGCTGGAAAGAGCATGTTAAGATCAGTAAAACTGTGAAGTTCTAAGAAGATAAGTTAAAAACTCGCAATAAGATAAGGTTTTTGAAAAGTGTGAATAACAAAACTTCGCTGCCGGCAAAAGATGCCTTCAAGCAATTTTTTTTTTTAAATACAAAATATTTCGATTTTTGAAAATTCATATCTTCGCGATTTTTGAACTCAGTTCCTTCAAAATTCACAGTATTACTAATTTTAAAATGCTCTTTCCAGCTATGGTAATTATTCTTCTGTCCTGTGAGTTTTGGGATTACATGATAAAGGCTCATTGTTTTTGAATGATAAGAGCGACAGAAACGTTTTACAATACAATTCAAATAAATGTGATTACTTTAAAATTTAAGTATTCATTCAAATAGAAATCATAAAATATCTAACCAAATCCATAAAGTATTTATGAATGAAGTTGAAAGATAAAATCTAGAAAAACCTTAAAGTTTGTGTATGTCTTCCATCACCTTCTTCCAAAATCATTTCAAACTCCAAATCCTTTAATATGATTATTTATGTATGTTTGAAGTAATTCATTTTCCAAATATTGTGAACTTAAATTTTCCAAAGCCTTCAAACGTAATAAATATGTTTTTTATGAATAACACTCTTTATACTTGTTTGACAAAATATAAGACATTAATCGTAGACAAACTGCTAATTAAATTTAATCGAAAAATGGTTTAAAAAGAAATATCAAATTGCCCTATTTATGACGTCACACGAAACAACCTTTTGTTTTAAATTAAAGCTAAGAAGAATCGTGGTCTTGGGAGGGGGGCAGAACGGCAGCATTTATTTTAAAAAAGCTGTAGAAAATTGTATTTTTTAGAATTCAGAAAAGCAAAAATAGCTGCCAAATAAGATATAAATCTTTGAAAACCAGACATAACAGCCAGCTTTCAATTCAGTTGCAAAGTAGAATTAGTTCAAATCTTTCTTGTTCTTATTGTCCTTTACCAATCTGTCCCCATAATTATAGCTTATAAACAAGCTGTGATGTCATAGTGAAATAAGACAATTAAGGAAAAATGAAGGGAAGAAATTAGATGCTTAACAGTTATTACAAAATATAAAATATGATTTTTATGTCATGTAGGAGTATCAGTACTAGAGTGACCACAGTAAATCCGTGAAACTTTAGTAATACTAAATAGCACAATTTCATGCAAATTCMATTGTTTTCTATTGTTTAACTAGCACTATTTTGTACTATTTAGTAATTAGTGTTTCACGGATTTACTGTGATCACTCTATCATTTAAAGTGCCTACTCTGACGAAAATCGCTCAAACTTGGATTCAGCTGAAACTTTCTAAGAATACTCTTTAAAGGTCCAATAATCACTGTATGAAGTGTTTTCTTGATATTCAGGACGAAAGTATGATATTTTTACGATTATTTTTTGGAGTCTGTGACGTCATACACTCGACATCGAACATCTCTCTATACATTTCTTTGTAGTTTATGATCAAATTATCAGTATTAAAGGGAGAAAGAAATACCCAAACACCCCAAAATATAAACTATAGTCACAAGTAATGTGAAATAATCACATTAGCCACCCTTTGGGCTTCATAGGATAAAATAAATTAAGGATTTATATACAAAGAAATATATGTAGCAATGTTCGATGTTGAGTGTATGACGTCACAGACTCCGAAAAATAATCGTAAAAATATCGTAAAAGTGATGAACAAAAATTAATACAACAATAAAATGGAACAAACCTGACAAACCAAGAAACACTTCATACATACATATAATAGCAAGAACGTTAAACACGTATAAAAATAAAAATTTTACGAAATAACATTAGGAATTGATTATTAGAAATATTTTTTCAGTTATTTGATTCTAAAGACACCTAGATTGAAGTAAATAACTGTTTAGAGTGAAGTTATTAAAACCGTGAAATAAGATATTAGACTAACACACTTTAGTAGACCTTAACTCCATTGTTTTCTTTTGTGTCTATTTGACTATTACATGTTGACTAGGGATTTTTATTTCACGGGTTTAATGCCTTCACTCTAAGTATATACCAATAAGTTTATATTAAAAATATCAGTCGATACCCTCAGTGAAATAATTACTTTGTTCAGAAAATATTTAATTCCTATTTGTTTTTTATTTTTATTTTTTGCTATTTTTAATTTGATTTTCATAAATCACCATTTCTGCAATGAATGGATTTTTAAAAACCAATTATAAAATTTTGTGCCATGAATACATAAGTCTTTGCTGCGCGTGTACGATTATTGGACATGCGCATCAAAGATTTATGTATTCATGGAACAAAGTTTCATAATTGTGAATTGGTAATCAGAATTTATGAATATATACATTTTCATTAGGCATGATAAAAATTTTTACAATAACTTACAAATTTCTCGCGTGCTGATTGGTTATTTTTTATCATCAATAAGAGGACAGACAGATAAAGCTGACGTCAACGAGCGCGCGCTCTTTCCGTTGGTTGTTTTGATCAGTAATAATGAGAAGTTTTTATCGTTTTTGTTATTGTAAAAAACAAAAATACATCAGTTTTTTATGTGTCTGTCCTCTTATTGACGATAAATTGCGTGATCACATTGTCAAAGTAGTATGCGGATCCACACTACTTTGACAATGTGATGACGCAATTTATCGTCAATAAGAGGACAGACACATAAAAAACTGAAGTCTATTTGTTAAATCGATTTGACGATGAATATTATGGTAGTAACATATTTTAGTAAAAATACACAGGTGATTATTGAAACTCTTTCGCGCTGATTGGTCGAGAAACTCACACTATCACACGATAATCACCTCCAGCGATAATCCAAAATGGCGGCCAGCCGCTTTGTTGCTGTTACCGGAAAAAATATCTTTTATCTTCTTTTTTTTCCCCTTTTTTTTTGAAGAATCACCTGTGTATTTATACTAAAACAATTATTTGCCTTAGCCTCAGTGAATATCGGAGAATATTTAAGAATAATCGTTAAGTAATAAGACAACGTTTCGGTGTTATCTGTTATTTTGACCTGATGATGGTGTCATGAGGACACCGAAACGTTGTCTTATTACATAGAGGATATTACATGGGCGCTTGGAGATACGAAATTTATCTTC